TTCTCGGTGTGCAATCAACGCCTTCATGAAGAAGAACGTACAGTTGGTGATGGCGAGGAAGAGATTCTTGAAGTTCAGCAGGGTCACCGCGCCCAAGATGATGAGGACCGGAGGCACAAAGATCACTTGCGGGAACGTCAGGTTGATCATGGCGTTTGGTGGCGGTTCAAGCAAAATGTGCGTTTGGACCTCGACAGCAAAATATTCCGATTCCATGTCATACAAATGCCAAGATAATTTTATTCACTGCATCGACGCAGCTGGCGCTTCCATCTCGAAATAGTGTGAATGGTCGACTTCCATAGAAAATTCAAGGTATGAATATTCACACTATTTCCAGAGATGGTGACACGTCATCACGTATTCGATAAAAATATCCTCTGTAAAAAATATATTAAAGAATTCATTCGGAAAACCATGCCACATAAATCCAACCAGCGTTGACAGTGAAATACTCCAGGGGTGGTAAAAACCCGATTTTTTCGGCTGACAAATCGGGTTTAAGGTTTTAATTATTAAGACCCGATTCCTGGGTATTAAAACCATGGTTGTATTCACAAGCAAGCGGCAGCGCTTACTGAGGGTCGATTTGTGCTGGTGCGGGTTAACGTCGTCGGTGTAGAGACTCCACAGGTCACTGCCTTGCCGACCACGTTTACGCCTTCCTGTAGCAGCATCGACATTTCCATTGCCGTTCGATGGATCACCGCCTGCACCGGACCTAGGATCAGCGTTGATATTGTTGTCATCGGCGATGTCGCTTTCGATGTCGATGACGATGGCCTCCGCCTCCACAGCGATGTCGGACACGATCACAAGTGCAATGGAAACTGCCAATTGCCCATCTCTCTACGAGGAGGGGCAGTCCGCCCCCTATTAAAACCCGATATTCCGAATAAAACCTGATCCTCAGACAATCGGGTTTTATATTAAAACCTGAAAAAACCCGGTCTCCCATCCTTGAAATGGTGGTACTCATGTGTGCAAAACGTCAACACTATTTCAATTGCATCATCCAAATATAGTGTGTGTCCAAAAATACCGCCAACGGCGCCAAACATCGCCATTTTGGATGCTTCGTCCCGACGATGGGCATTTGCTTAAATGTCGAAGCAAAACAAGCATTCGGGCGGCGGATCCAACATCCTTCGCGGTGGGAAGCGGTCGTATGAGTGCGGCACGCTTATCGGCAACTTTGTCGAGGAAGCGTATCGTCCAGGCGTCGTCAAGTCGCGCGGGTTTACGTCGAGTATGTACACGACGTCCACACAACTGCAGCAAGCCGGTGTCGTCGTCAAGCCATCCTTTGGACCTGCGCTGAAGAATGATCTGAACCCACGCTACGACTACACGAATATTGTTGGTCCAGACACATTGAATGCACCTTCGTCGTGGGTGCCAGCGTCGAAAACGTGCGAGTTCCATCCACGCGAGCTCAAGACGGCCACGATGAGTGGCCCTGAACTCGAAGCCTACAGGCAGAAATGGTCCAAGGAACAAGAGGGCATCAAGCAACTTCGATTCAACACGGAATCGATCGCAAGTCAAGGGGGTATCGTCGCTTCGCAGTTTAAACCTCGCCATTTGTTGCACGACAACGGGTCCACGTCATGACAGGAATAAACACCCACGCATGCCTTCTATGTCCATGGCTTCGATGCCCTCACTGCCGCCGATGTTGTAAATGTCACTCTTGGGGACAAGTCACGACGGTTTAGTGGCGTGCGCGTTGACAGACAGTGTTCACATATGTGCATGCATGAATCGTTCTCGGGGCAAGTCGTGGTACTATTTCGCCTGGTCTAATCGAGTTCCACCGACGGGACATCTCTGTCGACGTCTGTCGTGTTGAGGTCGTCGTGATCGTCGTTTGAGACGGCTGCCAGACCTCGCGACGCGGTTGAAGGAGGAGCAGAGGAGGTTGGTTCGTCGGAACGCGGCGACACATTGTCCCGCATGCTCTTGGCTCCTGTATTCGTTCCACGACTTAAGTCGACCACCAGCGCGCAAATGTTGTCTTGGCTCCCGCGTTGAAACGAATATTCCATGATAGTTTTGGCCGCAAGCTACATGGACCAGGAGGAGTTGACTTCACCCTCGGGACGCATGCGAGGGAATGTCACGGTAGAGAACTATATTACCTGCGGGGTTTCCGACTGAAGTACGAGGCGGGCGACATCAGAGTTCGATAAAACATCCCTGTTCACGTTGAGATGAAAACACCTTCCATGCTCAAACGTACCAAACACCGTCGCTGGCAAGTACAATGCACTGGTCTTCGTCCGACCGCGTCGTCTCCACTATTTCTGGTTCGGCAATCACATACGGCTTGAGCATGCGATCGCCGATCGCACTGCATATCAAATTAACACTGCAGCTTGAGAAAACGTGGATAGTCATCTAGAGGAGTTTACCGCGAGACAGCCAAGATGCCTTCCACGCGCCACACGCCCCAAAATATGACATGACCTCCCATGCTGTTCACGCGTTCGCGTTCGTCGGGTCGGTTCGGCTAGGTACATGCATCGTGATCTTCATAGCATCCATGACACGATGTGGTACCTTATGGTCAGAGGACAGCGGGACGGCATCGCCGTTCTTCTTGATCAGCACTGCACGAGAATCCCCCACTGCAACGTCATCGACATGGTACGTCCCCGTCACTCATGGGTCTCGTTGTCGATTGCAAAGAGGCGTTGTACCGTTCGCAGCGTAGATAGCGTCCCCGCGCACCAACACGCCGATGGCCGTCGTGCCGTCGTCCTTGTTGTACCGGTCTGCGAGCTGGATGTACTATTCGAAAATGACCGCGCACAGCAAGTGAGCGCGACCTCGCGAAAAAAAATTTCCTCGTGAAAAAAAGAATTCCATACATCTTTGTCCGTCTTGACAAACCCCCGCGAAAGCGCGAGCTTGGGGTCGTGAGCAAAGGCGGGGTCGGCGGTGATGTTGGAGCAAAGAGAAGCAACGCAGTACCTGGTGGCGTCGTGTGAGATGGTAGAAAGTCCAGGCCAACTTACTCGGACGCGCCATCCCCACCATGTCCGTCGAAAACACCGTAGAAAGTCGACCACGGGTCACCGTTCAAAGTCCCCACGACAGTATGTCTGTCCTCCATATACGGGCGCTTGCCCTGATTGCCAAGAGTGACATTGAGCCTACGTACGCGAAAACTAACCTGCATTTCTGACACGCCGTAGGGGTACAACGCTGTGGCATCGACAGTTGATTGCTTGCCGCGGCCGGTGCGTGGGCTGGTTCATGCGTGAGGGGAAGAGAAGTGTCGGTGTCGGCGCGGGGTACCTGATCTCATTCAAGGCAAACTTGATGACGCACAAGACTACGACGATGATCACGGCGTACGACATATACTTGCCTTCAAAGAGTCCTTGTATCTGGACTCCATCCGGCCACGCCATCGTCGTCGTCGAGTTGGAAAGAGCCACGTCGAGCAGCGCAACCAAACGCGGTCTTGCGTTTCCAGATATCCGGATACGGGGCCGAATATATCACAAAAAGAATATATTATACTCCTATTATAAGTATATTTTCCCGATTCTGCATAAATGATTGCAGTCGAACGAGTATTTATTCCTGCATGTCTCCGTAGGGTTGAGAGGATGCCCAAGTCGGTCTGGGCACTTCCAGCGTAAGCCATGTGCGCAGTGAATCGGTGCGAAACAAAAAGTGTGCCGTCGACAGCAAACGTCGCTGGAGCGCCATGCACGGCGTTTGCCTCGCTGTGGGTCAGTCTCCCCGCCGTGCGAAACGGGACGACGGCTCAGGAAGCGAGCGAGCGGCACTTACACATGTCGCAGCGTGGTCATCCAACTTTACGCCGGAGCGACCTGTGGCTGCTAATGTGAGGCCTTCCCGTACGACACACACACTGCATGACGTTGCGACGCAACTACAACTGGACCGCAACGATTCCGTGCCCACGGCTTGATAAGGTTAATATTTTGACGAGGGTGCCACTACGAAGTGCGAAGGGAGAGTTGGGTGGTTTTAAACTGGTTCAGCTGGATGAGTGGGCCCGTCGACTCCATGAGCTGGTCCGGTCGATAGGAGCTCAGATTCTTTGTCACGGACGATTCCACCAATTGAGCAAACAGCTCCGTGTTGGCAGCGTAGCAATTGACCAGGATGTCCGCCAACTTGCCGACTCCGCACACGTCGGCAAAATCTTTCGACTTTGGCGGGATGAGATGGACGTGGCGAATTTTGCGAAGGCGGGACTGAGTCGCGCTGATGGGCTCGGCCAGGCACCAAATGCTTTCGCGGGAGCGCAGCACGTTCTCTGGAAACGGATACAAGTCGTCTTCGAGGACAGACTGCCCGATCCAGACAAACGAATCGGTCGTACCAAAGCTGTGAAAGACAAAGTTCACGTGCACGTCGGGGGCGCCGTTCAACGTGTACACGCGTCGGACGTACTGGGTCTTGGAATCGAATGTCTCGATCAACTGCAATAAAAAAAAAGATTCGTTTTGTGTGAAATCATGTCGTCGGAATCCATCATGATGAGAAAAATGTCGCAATTCATGGTGATGACCAAGTCAAGCCATGGTGGAATCAGGTGGATTTGACAAATATTTACACAAAAATCAACCAACTCGGATTTGACCAAAAAAGAAGAATGCAACGGCGGCGGTACCTTGGTCGATCCGTTGCTGTACTCGGAATAGTCGGAGCGGACGGTGATGGCCGTGTTGAGGCCGGCGCAGAGCTCGTTGATGGGGACGTTAAATATGAAAGACAGCGACATCTCGAACACGAGTTCCTTGGTGCATTCGTCAAAGCGCACGGCCACTTGCTTCCACGTGTTCAACGACCGCAGCATCCCGTTCTCGGCAAAAACGACTTGCATTCGGCTGAGTTGCGCTTGCATGATCGAGTCGACGGCGAGTTTTCGTTCGCGGGAGTCTTCTGTCAGGTGCACAAACGGGATTTCTGCCGGTCCTAAGATCGACGACTCCTACGGAGGTAGGTTGACACGCCATGACGAGGCGCATGGGGCATCGTCAGGACTTACGAGGAGAAGCGGTTGGTTTGTCAGCACTGCTTGGAGGTCCCGAATGATCGTCATTTGCATTTCCAGTCGAGATTTCAGTCGCGCGTTTTCCTTCATGGACTGTTGTCGCTGCCACGCTTGCCGACGCGCAAACCCTTCCCACGTCGACTGGGCCTGTCCTTCGATCTTCATCCGTTTGTTCGTCTCTAATTCGGTCAGTTGAAGCTCCAACGACGTATACTTGTCGTGGAGGTCGGCCATCTCTTCGTTGTACCGCGCTTTGGCCTTTTCATGCCGCCGTTTGCGGTCGCTACTCGCTCGGTTCTCCGGTTTCGGAGGCAACGCATGGAGCGGTCGGAGAGGAGGCACGAGCACTGGTGGTTGCGGATACGAACGCACAGTGTGAGGGGGATGACTAGACATATCTTCCTTGTTCGACGGTGGGTACTCGCTCGACGGGTTCAGAAGCGATTGCATCGAGAACGACGCCGCTCCCTTGGCAGCGCTCACGTACATCGGGAGCCTTCCACTTCCTCTGTTCGTTCAGTTGTGGGAGTTGGGGAGGCGTAATCTGGGTCGGTCGTGTTTGATTGGTCCGTTTCGCCGGCTGGGGTGCTGGCGGAGAGGCTGGTCTGGGGCGGGGAAAAATGCCTAATATTGACACCCAGGCTTCCCTCGACGACGGCGTTCTTCCATACTTTCGCGGCACGTCACAGGCGATCCTTCATTAGGAAATTACCACTCTTGGGAACGCTTACGCCGGCATGGCAACTTCCGCTCAGAACATCGCCGGCATGTTCTGAGCCTACCGAGCGGCGTGCAGTAGTCTTTGAGTGGTCTTACCGTCAATTTTCGACATGACTCTACGATGTACGTGAGCCCCAACGCATGTGTTCCAGCGGTCCCAACGACGCGGGTCATTCGGTCGCGCGTCTCCTCGACTAGCTCGCCGTACGCGCGTGCTGACTAATCGTTCCTGACCAGTCGTGCTGAACTGTTCCGTGAGAAACTCAGCAGGGGACAGAGATACGCGGCGCCGCGTCCTTAAAAATGTACATGCCGTCGGCAAAGGCTGCGTCGTCGAGAGGATGCCGTCGATCGTCGTGGAACGGTCATCGTACGCAGCTTCTATTCAAGCAAGAGATGCACTCACGTATTCCTGTGGCGAAATCTGCACGTGCGCGAGCGATTGCGGTCATGGCGAACCAGTTGACGCGGGTGGTACAACAGCGACCCTTTCAACTCTATACGAGGCGCAGTCGAGTTAAGGGAATTCACGACCACACCAAAAATCCAGCAACCCAATTGCGAGCACGTTGACCGTTCAAAATAACCGTCGACCACCGTTTTGGGAGATTGCGTGGGATGCCCGACGGGATTCCATGGCGTCGACGGCCGTCCGACGTGATGGCGACGTCCTGTGAGGGGGCCGCGCCAGGATGAGCCATGGAGTTGATCTTGCGATGGTGGACGTTCCTGTACTGGGTGTTCCTTCTGGCCGGCAAACGCAATCACAGCCGCTTGCAGCGCAGGCTGCGTTACGCCTGTCTTGAGTACCTCTCTCCCATGATGTCGAGTCCACAGGAGAGGAAGAGGGCGACCGCCACGCGCGGTTCTACGTCGGACGTTCGTGATGCGGGCTCGGCGGTAACGAGGAAGCGAGGGCAGTGTATGCCGAAGCGTACATGCCGATGCACGTGGCTTCATCTG